GAAGAGGGTGGGTTTTTTTTTTTTTTTTTTTTTTTTTTTTTTTTTTTTTTTGAATTTCTTCTCTCTCCTTCTCCTCCTTCTCTTCAAAACTAAAGGGGGCTAAGGAAGGAAAGGGAGCCACCGGAGCCCGAGAAAGTGCCGAGTCGCAGCAGAGCTACCCCTGCCCCTGCTGCTGACGGGGATGACCCAGTGACTACTGCAGAGAAGTGGACGAGGAGCGGGAAGCCCTCAAACTTCTCTGTCTGCCGGCTCCGAGCCGCCTCTCCTCCTTTGCCTCTCCCCCCCCGCTCACCTTTGCCTCCCCGGCAGCAGTGATTTGGGAATTCCGCTCCTCTCTCTCTCCTTCCATGTACGCCCGGCTCTTCCCTGCAGAGAAACACAAAGTTCACACGCGAGCTGCTTTTGTTGACATTTTTGTCTCTCCCACTCACACTTGACTCAACCTCGGGAGGCAGAACTTTTTTTTCCTTTTTTCCTTTTTTCTCCTTTTTTTTCCTTTTTTTTTTTTTTTACATGAGCTGTACACATCAAAAATAGTGCTAATACTACGTGAAAGCATTTTAAAAAGTGCAAAATACAGTTACGACCACACTTAATCCTTTTTTAGCCATTTGTGCATCCCAGTAAGGTGTTTGTCTTGAAAGTGTTCTTGTTATGAGATATGCAACAGATTTTATGCCGAATAAAAATTATCCTGCATGTAGTTTAAAATTGGTTGCTCTCTGTTTCATTCCATGACCTGTTGCATGCAGAAAGTGGAATCCATCAGTGGATGATGCTAATATTGTCTGTGTCTTTCACTGCTGGCTGTTACAAAAATCAATACAAAAAACTTATGAGAGCTCTCAGTACCCAATTCAATAGAAAATATGTCCCATTTCTGCAGCTTTTGCAACATTGTTTGAGCTTCCAGGGCATGAAGGTCTGGACATACTTTTTATTGAATCAGGTCCTCAGTAATGTCTTCATATATTTTTAAAGAAAACTCAGAAGTTACACACTGAAATAAACAGTGAGACTCTCACAAGTCGATGGTTATACTAGAAAGCTTGAATTAGGATGTGAAGACTGAAATCCATTTGGCTGGCAGCAGTTTTTCCTGAAAAAAAAAAATATATATATATATATTTCTAATGTGAGGTCCGACGCCTCCATGGCGCGGCAGTACGGCAAGGGGCTGCAGCACTACCTGCTCACGCTGGCCACCATCGCCTCCCGCCTCTACGCCCACGCGAGCCTCGAGAACCACGTGCGGCTTGCTGTCGTGAAGGTGGTAGTGCTCAGCGACAAGGACAAGGGCCTCGAGGTCACCCGCAACGCCGCAGCCACCCTCAAGAGCTTCTGCAAGTGGCAGCACCAGCACAACCGCCTCGATGACGACCATGACGAACACTACGATGCCGCCATCCTCTTCACCCGTGAGGTAGGTCCAGGTTGGCGCCCCTCACCACCAAGAGACCCCTGCATCGGGGTTGTGCCCAAAGCCGTGTCCTGTCCCGGCAGCGCTCTGGCTGGCTGAGTCCCGCAAGTGCCTGCGCCAGCAGGGGACTCAGTGAGCCCAGTGGTGCCTTTGCTTTTACCCCCTTGACCCTCCCTCCGTTGGGTTGCTGTGCATCTGTTGGATGAACCCCTCCCCGTGCCCTTGCTGGGGACAGATGTGGGTTGAGCGCCTCGTAAGCTGTGTCATCCCTGCCTTTCCTCACTGGTGTCTCCACAAGGTGACCCCCAGCATGGGCCCACGGTCTTCCCAACGGCTGCCGTGCTGGGCTCTCTGCCAGCACCGCGTGGTGGTGTTAATTTGTCTGATGTAGACACATCGCCACGAGGGACTGGGCCGAGACCGCCTCTCTTATCTCCATCCGAGAGATGATGTTGTTTCCTTTCCCAGGGAGCTGCTTCACAGGCAGCCCGTTTCCCCTTGGGGATGGGGTCCGCACCAAGAGCTGATAGGGCTGAGTTAATCCCCCATACGTGCTGCGAGCAAAGACACTTTAAGAGAGCGTGCGACTTTCCTGCCGAGTCTGTTGACATGCTCTTCCCAGCACAAAAGAATAGCTTCGCTACACTGGAAGCCGGCAGCGCTTGTGGTTCGGGGCTAGGACGCAAATGTAAACCGCAGGTAAACAGAGCCGTGCAAGTCTGGTGCGTCAGGCGCTGGGAAGGGGACGCAGCCTCTCTCTTGTTCCTCGAGTGAAAAATGGGCATCCTGAGCAGCTGCAGACCTGACCCTGCCAGTCCTGCCCATGCAGAGCTGCGCGTCCCTGCCTACCCTGCTGTTAATTATTTGCCTTGCCAAAGGTCGTTAAGGGACATTGCCGTAGCAGACATGTGGCAGAGTTTATGCAATGAGGTTCTTCTGTAAGAATATCCTTTCGGCGGTTTGGGTCTGGTGTTTTTTTTATTTTTTTTTTCTTCCCCCAAGTACGAAAAAAATAACTGCATGACTTTCCGTTAGTTTGAGCTCTCCTGCTTTTCTACATCGTAGGAGGCTGCCAAAAAGGATGCTTTGGATGGTTTGTGGAAGGAGTTGCTCCAGAAGGGGGGGAGCTCCTGGCCTGCTTTTATGGCTGTAAATAGTTGAAACATTAGGTTCTGTGTCAGTCAGGCATCACTTGTGCAGCAGAGGAGTCTTTTTTTAGCAGTTTAAAACCCATTGGTCAAAATTGCAAGCTTCCATTTTTTTATCATTGTAAGCTAGATGAAAGCGGGCTACCTAGGCTGGGTCAGAACGCTCTTCCTTTTTGCTATAAACAGTCCTTTTAATGGGTTATTAGTTAAGCTTCAGCCAGAATCCATCACTTTCATTAAAGAGTGTGTATTTCTGCCAGTATTCCCATTTATTTCCATGGGGTTCATTATGATTCAGAGACTCTTAGGGGGTGGCAGACTGTGAATCTTAACATTAATTATTAAGAACAAGTGTAATGCATAGCTATGTAATAACACTTGAAAGTTAGCTTTGGCTAAGATACAATGCGATTTTGAAGCAGACTTGCTTTAATTCTTTGCATGGATGCCCTTGCACCAGAGTAAGTACAATAATCAGCAATCTGCTTTCAGAGATTCCCAAGTACTGCTTCATATGTGTGTAGACTTACTTTGCTTGTGCGTGAGCAAAATTAACAAAGTGTCACTGTTACTGTGGTCTCATTTCACTCTTAAGATACCAATGTTGTTAGTATAGTCACTTAACAACATAAATGCTTATATTTTGCAAGCATAGGTTTCATTTTGTTTGGTTAATATCTTAAAATGCTTAACTCTTATATTCAGTCATCAGACAGCATGATTTAGTATAACTTAATCTACCTCAATGGTATGTTGTGTGGAGAAGCATGCTATTTGGCCTTGTATTTCTAACTCATTGGGGCGGCCTGAGAGAGATGTTTGACTCAGTAAGCACAAGACTTTGTAGTTTCTTACTGCATTCACGGCTGTTCTTCCTAGGGAGTATGTGTGAATCCACATCTTTTTATATGCTTACCCTCAAAATGTCAAAATGAGTCTATTGCCACATATCAGAATATAAATATTAAAGTGGTCAAAGAATGAAAAAGGATCAGAGGTGCTTCCCGTAGAAAACAGTCCCATTTTGAGCTACAGAGAGATTTTTTCCAGTTTAGCTTTTCAATGAGAGTAGCAGCGACTGGCAGGAGAATCCAACTTTTACAACTGTGTTTTGAATGTATGAAGTTCGTTGCTTAGCTACTAGACGCCAAGCCATGGCTCCCTCCGTGTTTTGATGGGCTCTGAATACCGTCAAGCTAATTTTTGTACATCCAGATGTCTTTTTCTAAATGGCTTGTTTTTCAGGCATGGAGTTAAAATGTGAGGTACATTTTCCATCTTTGTTTACTAACTGAGGCCACCTTGAACTCTGCGTCTCTGCGTCAACAGAATAATATTTGCAAATCGTTTCTCAGCCGAACACGTGTTCAGCTGCATGTAACTGTTTATGTGTAGTTAGAATCTAAATTATGCATGCCTGTTGACATACAGGTCTCTAATATAATAATTATCTTCATTCTGGAGCAACATTTACTTGGATCTTATTTTTGACACTGAAAGATAAATGAATAAGCACTGATAGACTGAATACACTGACAGCTCTCTTTTGCTATAAAATTAGAACCAGCAGTTCAAAATGTCACCATCGTCCATCATATTGCAAATATTTCCCATGCAAAAAGATATTTTTTGGTCTGTATGTCATTTGATAAGGACTTTAAAGCCATCATGCTGCAGAACAAAAAGTAAATAATGAATAAATAAAGACGTGTTTGGTTTGGGATGATGCAGATGAAGTGTTTTTAAACTATTTCAACATGAATTCCCACTACGTATTGCTATCAGTGATGACAAGGTCCGTGTAACTGTATTCATTCATTATTTGTAGTGAACTGTAATGTATTCTGCAACTACAAGGAAAAATGCAGTAACTTGTCAGCATTATTACTTGCATAAAACCTGCAAAAGGCACAGAAGTTCTATGTCCCCAAATATTGCAGAAACTCAGTTGGGTTACATGATGAGTATTTTAAATTCTCAATATCTGATGAGGAGAAATATATTTTCACAGTGATCCTGAGCTGTTATTTTTACCCACTATGATCAGTAACAAGTTTGACAGAGGACTGGATTGTCACTACCAAAATATCACTGAAAGTGTTTTGTTTTAATAAATCCTGTAAGAGCTCCCATATAGGTGGGTTTGTCTTAATGGCCTCAGAGCATACAGGAATCCTCTGCAGTTCTTGTTTCAGTTTTTGTATTGTACTTGGCAATAGTTATAAACTGTTAGGCCATGTGCATCCTCAGTATGTCTAACATAGACCTGAATATGGTCAAGCAAAGAGTTAGGTAATCTGGCGGCCAAGTGAGTCCTCCTTGCTGTGTGTGACGGGAACGAATAAGAAGAGCTTGAGGACCACCTTTCCCTTGGAGACTAACTCTCTTTGTTCTCAATGTTGGTAAAGTCAACAGAAAATTTACAGTGTGGTCCATTTCAAGGTTTTTGATTGTGAACAGTTCTCTGAAGCTGGAAACAAGCTATTTTCTGCCCTAAGTTTTTTTACTGATGCAAAAAAATGTATGACGGATTAACTGCCACAGTGAAAACATCCGTTATATATAAATTGCAAACTGTGCTTGAACTCAAGCTGTTCTTTTCTGAGGTCTAACCTTCCCTGTAATTATCCTGTAGAATTCACCCAATCTCTTTCATTAGCGACCCTTAGTTAAATTTCAATGTCTCTAAAAGCATTTGGACAAAACCCAGTTCTCTCCCTATCTTTTCTCTCCATTTTTGGAGTATATGAAATTTAAAATAGTTATTTCTGCCAGCAGATACAGGCAGCAAAAACAAGAAAAAATGCTTTCCTAAGTGCTTGTTAGTACTTGTGATTATTAGCAATAGTAGCATCATGCCTGGATCTAACCAAAAAGCTCACATTAGAGCCAAAGGCCACTGTCCTGCCTGTTTCTACAGTAATTATATGGATCTTGTGTATGTAATTTAGTTTAGCTGTCCATATGACACTGCTGTTGAAATTGAACAGCAACCTTTGGATTATCTCAGCTCAATAGATGATAATTTCATTGAAGAGAGCACATGCCTTCTTTGGCTCTGGTTCCTTCATTTCCTTTTCTTTGTTTTCCTTCCTAATATTATCATATCATGCCAATTATTATCCTATATTAGTAAAATAGGTCAGTGTCCCAACTGCCAGTAGAACATTTTTTTCAGTAATATTATTACTCTGATAAAGTTATAATGTGATGTCCCTTCTACTTTTGTAGCTTTTTCATTAATCTTATTGCAACTCTAAAACCTTTAGAAGATGTTCCTTGGGGATCCCCTTGGGGATGGGGGAAAAAAAAAAGTGGCACTTTATTTGTGTGGGAGAACTAGCATGGTCCATAAGAACCTAGGGAGATGGTGTGGAGTTTCTCCAGAAAAGAATTACAGGTTAGGCAAGTTACATGTTTTTCGTTGTCTGTTGTCTCAGTCGGGCTGTTTGGAATCCTTCTTCGCTTTACAATGATGGTCAGGCCCTCTCCCTGGTGCCCTGATCTGGACATCCCTATGAGCAAACCCACCAGCATTTCAGAAGCATAGCTTTTCACAGCAGGCCCCCTCCAGGGCACTGTTCCACCAGGTGGGATCTTATGGTCACTCTTTAAGTTTCATGCTCTCAGTTGAAGGATAAAACAGTTCATTCCCTAATTACTTTGTACAATTAGCCCTATCTACCTTTTTTTGGATGTTTATTGCAGTTTTGTATTCTTTTTGCCTTCCATACAGAAGGCACTCGGTGCAATACCAGTAATCCTTTCTTTTCAGATGAACTGTGGTCCTGCTGTCTTCTTTTTATGAACACTTTTCTCAAAATGCACCATTTAGTGTTTCTGAAAAGTGAATAT